CGGGGGCGGTGGGGCCTTGGGCAAGCTGCGGCCGGGCTGTGACCCTCCGAGATGCTGGCGTGGGGGCGCCCGCCTAACTTTGGGGCCAGGGGCGCGGGCCGGGACGGCGGACTCAGCTACAGAGCCGGTGGGACCCCGACAGAAACTCCACCTCCGCATGGGGCCGAGGGTGGGGTGACGGAAGGCAGAGTCTGGGGGCCCGGCGGGGCCCAGCTTTCCCGCCTCGGGTTTCCCGAGCGCCAACGACATACTAGGCACTCCGCAGCAGACGTGGGCACCGCCTGTCCCGGGCTCAGCGCGTGGAGCGTGCGTACTTTTGTTAACTGCTTTCTGCTTAGTGTCAGCTCTGCCACCGAGTGGACGTGGCGCAGCAAGTCTCTGCCCCTCACCGGGCCTCAGTTTCCCGTTTGTACAACGAAAGGGTTAACCAAAGTAACCTCATGCGTGTTAAGAAACGCAGTGGGCACTTGGCACGCCCGGAGGAGATGGTCTCCATGTACAGTGTTGCTTCCTGCCCCCTGCAGGGCCGGAGCCCATTGCCGGATGGGTGGTCCAGGGACGTTTATGGTAATGCTCCCCTATGTGTGCCCAGACGCTGTGGGGCTTCCTCCCTTGGGAATAGGGTGTCTGCGGTTTTGGCGGGAGGGGGTGGAACAGACTCTGGGAGGGCCTCTTACCACATCCTGTACCTTGGAAGGCAGACTGAAGTGGATCTATCTACAAAGAGGACCAAAAATTTACAGAGGTAGTGAAGGAAACCTTGCTGGATTGGGACTTTACCTCGAAGAACAAACTGTAAACGATGAAGCTACATTAGTTTTAACTCACGATTAATAATATTTAGATTATGATGGTAACCATGCACGCATTAGAATAATCAAAGAATCGACTCTGCGACATGAGGGTCATTTTTGCAAAAACATTTGATGGTTTCAAACTCAACCGTCATTCTGAATCCTTTGATGGTCACATAGTCCTCTCTCTGGAAGGTCTCAGCCATTCACTTCTCTTACAGAAGTTCTCTGTGGTCTGCCGCTGCTCCGTGGTGTTACTTTCTATAGTGTTACTTCCATCAACGTCATGAAATCCCACACTTTTTGCAAGATTTGCAGCTTCACTTGCCTTCATTTGCTTTGTATTTGCATGATTAAATGTTGATAGCACCTGGCAGTCAGCTAGAAACTGATTTGGGTGGGGATATGTGGTGTTCGAGAGGGAACTAATCTGTAGATGTTGCAGGGCCTGGCCTGGCTTTCTGTGCACTTTGGACTTGTGAGATTCAAATGTGGAAAACCCAGAGGACCAGGATGTCCCCATGTTAAAGCTGAGGGAATGAATGCTCAGGGAGGCTGTTGGCTCAGACATACCCAAAGTCCCACAGTCACTAGGGGCAGCGGTGTACCAAGAGCCCAGAGTTAGAGTTTTCAGAGGTGGGATAGGCATGCTGGAGGTGGAGGAGGCTGAGTTGATGGTGAACCTAAAGTCAGTTGTGTCCTCTCGCTTAAAAGAGGATTCAGAAATACTGTCCTAGGAGTGTCTCTGGCAGGGGTGAGGTGGGAGAGCCACCCGCTCTTGGAACTAAGCCGGGTGCTGACCGTAGGCTTGGGGCAGTTCACATGAATTATCTGTTTTAATACCAGCTCTGTGAGGTGGGTGTTGTTAACACCATCTCATAGTGAGAAAGTGAAAATCTGAAGTCCAGTGACGGGCCCTGGGTTTTACAGCTGGGAGGGCTCAGAGCCCAGATCTGACTCTCAATTTTACCACTGTCGCTGCTGTCCCTGAAAGCACACCTCCACGCAGCCCTCTGGATGCAGTGCTGATCTGGCGTCAGCCTCCCAGTGGCCCCCAAGGGGTTTCCCTCCCCATCTCTGCACAGTAGCTGTTTGATTGAGACTGTGTCAGTATTTCCTACATTTCAGCAGTTCTCTGTCCTATATCTCTGCCACCACTTTTTGCCATCGACACACAGCAATTGCGCCATTGTTTACCTAGTGTTTTTCTTTAAATCATTTCACTTTTTAGAACGTGCATGTATTTTAAGAATAGGAAATCTGTATCAGTTGGCATAAATAGAAGAAAATCATAAAAATAAATATGCAAACAAACATCTAGCTAGAAACTTTTTGTTATAAAGGGACACAATATGTACACACATGTTCATGGCAGCGTCATTTACAATTGTCAAAAGGTAGAAGGAACTCAAGAGTCTGTTGGTGGACAAATGGTTAAACAGAATGTGGTCTTTACAATCTCAGGCATATTATTCAGCCTTAAAAAAAGAAGGAAATTCTGATACACGCTGCAGCATGCATGAACCTTGAAGACATTATAAAAAGTGAAATGAGCCAGTCACAAAGGACAAACACTGTATGATTCCACTTACACGAGGTACCGAGAGTAGTCGAATCCAGACAGAAAGCGGAATGGTGGTTTCTGGGGATTGGAGGAGAGGAAATGGGGAGTTAGCGTTTAATGGAGTTTCGGTTTGGGAATATGGAAAAATTCTGGAGATGGATGGTGGTGACGGTTGCATAGCAATGTCAATACACTTAATCCCACTGAACCGTACACTTAAAAATAGTTTAAATGGTAAACTTCATGTTATGCATATTTTGCCACAATAAAAAACATTAAAAAGAATATCTTTCTATGTCTAATAAATTTTGAGGAATTAAAAAAAAGAACATAAGGCAGTGGTAGAGAGGGGTTAGAGACAATTGAGCTCTAAACGTAGGCTTCTCCTGTATGTAAGCAGGCTTGAGGAAAGTAAATGACTTTTTCAATGTGTGACTCTGTTTACCTAATGTCCTGTGTGTGTGTGGGGGGGTCCCACTTACTCTCTTGCAGATCACTGGTGTGAGTAGCTCCTATGTGTGGCTCTCCCAGGGTGGAAAGTCGGGGGTGGCTTGCTCTGTTCTCTGCTGGTTGGGACTGAACAAGGGACTGGCATGCTTCATAAAGCCCAAGCATCTGGAATGTTTTATAGGGGAGATGGAGGCAGGGAAGGCTTCCCAGAGGAGGCAGGAGCCCTGAGGGATGGAGAGGAGCTAGAGTGCCGCCCAAGTTCAAGTGTGTATCACAGCTGGACAGAACCAGGAGGTGGGCCCGCACATCCAGAACCGGGTGCAATTAGAAGTTTGATGGGGCTAGACCGTGAAGGCAGTAGGGAGCCACTGCTGACGTTTGAGCTGGGAAGGGTCTTGGCACAGAGTTCTAGGATCTGGAGCGCAGGCCTAGGTAACCAGCAACCCAACTGAGGTGGGATCCCAGTGAAGCTTGCACAGATCCAGGATGGAAAATCGAGGAGCTTCCGGGTGAGCAGGTCCTCTTTTCTGGCCCTGAGAGGAGCTGTCTGGGCTCACTCACAGCCTGGGAGGAGGGCTGCTGGTGTTGCAACCCTAGAGGTGGCTAGGAGACCTCAGGAAGGAAGCGCCTAGGGGTCAAGGTCTGGGTGGTAGTTCCAGAAAATCAAGTGCAGAGAAGGGCAAGGACTTACTCAAGTCTCCCAGCGGAAATGTGGTCGAGGTGTCTGGACACAGGTGCACAGGGGCCGCTGCAAAGCCTTCGCACTGCGTGTGTGTGGACTGAGTTTCCGGAAATCTCCTTGCCCTCCAAGGATCAGCTCCCCTCCCCTTTCCCACAGAGGCCACCTCAGCTTCTTGCGGGCTGTACTTGGACTGATGCTGGAAGTTCCCTGGGGTGGGAGCGGAAAAGAGAACCATGTTGAGACCCACCTCCTTTCTTTTTTGTGGCTGTACCTTCACCCCACCCCCGAGGGTAAGAGATCACTTTTCTGAGTCAGAATTTTCCCAGGGAGTCTGGATGGGGCCCAGACAAAAGAGAGCATCCTGTCTCCCCACCAACACACACAGACACCTCTTTAGTGTTCTGTGGATGTCGCGGCTGGTGTAGCACAGGTTTATCCAGACCCCTGGTTCCAGGAGCAGCTGTCTGGCCTTCCAGGCCCACTGCTTTGGCCACATTTTCTGAGCTTTGCCCCAGTGAGTCCCTTCTTCAGAAGGCTCTGCCACTGGGTAACTCTGGGCCCAGCCCTTGTCCCCTCCAGGCCTCAGGCTCCCCATCCATGAAACATCAGGGCTTGATGCAGCACTTCCGGTGACTGCAGCATTGCCCTTTATAAGCCCCTCCATACCCCACGAGGTGGTGCTGTCATTATCTTCATTTTACAGAGGGGAAGCAGGTTCCAGTTTCAGTCACTTGCCCAGAGTCACCCAGCCCATTCATAATGGTGGGCCTGGTATTTGAACCCGGCCAGCCTGACCCAGGCCTCGCTCAAAGTTCTTGCCATCATCAATCTCCTTGATCGTCAGGTCAGGCAGGGATCATTCTCCCTTTCCTACAGATGGGGAAACTGAGGCCCAGAGAGGCGACATGTCTTGCTCAAGGGTGCAGAACCAAGGTGGGTCTTGAACCCACGCGGGCCAGCCCTCCTCGCTCTCGTCGCTGACACCGAGCACCTCTGACTGCTCCTGGCCCCGCGCATCGGGATCAAGGGGTGAGCTGGGTGCGGCCGTCAGCTCGGAGGAAGCAAGAAGCCTGCTGTAGGTCAAAGAAGAAGCGAAGCGAAAGTGTGGCGTGCAGGCATGCGGTGAAGAGAACAGAGAGAAGTGGGGGGGTGCGTGGGCGAGGGGCGAACGGAGCAGAGAGGCTGAGGCCGCGCGGACGTTCCCGACTTCCCCTTCCTCCTGCAGACGGCAGCAGACAGCGCGGCAGGACGGCGAGAGACAGCAGCAGCTGCACAGGTCAGCCCCTCCGGGCCTCTCCATCCCCACCCCCCCAGTTCTCTGTCGTCCTCCCCAAGTTCCCCAGCAGGCACTGGACATGCCTCTGCCCAGGCGGGTGCAGGGTGGGGGACAGAGAGCTGGGGACCCACCTTCATTCCCTTCACCAGTTTCTAGGTTCCTGGTGGCAACTTCAAATCTTGGGGAATGTAGAGATCTATGTTTTTGGGAAAAGGCAGTTCAAATTAAGGGACGGTTAGGTGCAGGGTTCAAATCTTAGCTCCCATGTGGCCTGGGGCTAAATCATTGGACCTTTTTTTTTTTTTTTTTGGACCTCAGTTTCTTCATCTGTAAAAAGCGGCTAGTCCAGCAACTTGCACCACAGGTGACAGAGATGAGACCTGGTACGGAGTTTGTACCGGGCAGATTGGCACGGGTGCAGTTCCTCTCAGAGTGACCTGGACTGGTGCCTGGCGATAGTGTGTCTCAGGGGAGTGGCTCTGGTGCTGGTTTGCTCTCAGATGCCTTGTTGGGCTTTGCAGCGGCCTCCCTTTCCTGACCTGAGAAATGGGCTAAGAGTGGCACCTGTCAGGGTTTTCCTACAGGAACCACAGCGTCGGTCCTCACCCAGGCCTGGGCTGGCCAGAGACGGGGCTCCAGCCTGCTTTTGGCAGGACCAGCTCTGTGGAAGGGGCAGGTGGGGCCACATACAGGCCCTCGTGCCGCTGGGGAGAGGGCGGGCTTCGGGGTGCATGGTCAGCTCCGGGAGGAAGGCAGGGGTTCCTAAATCTGGAGCCCAGAGGTATTTCTGGCCTGGGACTTCGAGTTGAGCCATGATTACTGGGCATGTGGGTCACGAAAATGGTTGTTTGAGTTTCTCTCCCTGGGAAATAGGTCTCTGTGGACTCATTTCACAGATGAGAAAACCTGAAGCACAGAGAGGTCAAGTTGCTTGCCTAGTATCACAGCCCAGGCATTGAACACCGGGAGCGGTGATCACATCTGCAGCTTCCAAAAGCTCTATTCTGCGTTCCAAACATCTCCTTATCTCTCTGTTGGCTTAGATAAGGTCTTACTTGTCCACACAGCTGCCCAGCCACCTTCGGGAGGCTGCCTTGCAGACCAGAGAGCGTCTGACTTGGAGTATGAAGCCCTGGGCGTGAGTCCCGGCTTAGAACTCCAGGCACACTCCTACATAGTACTCAGTTTCCCCTGGCTCAACTGGAACCATTTTGGAAGTCAAGTCAGGGAATCCTGTTTCCCAAGGGCTCTACATAACGAATTTCAGGGTGATGGGTGATGAGATGGCCAAGGGGATGGGGGAAGGATGGGTGGTGGCCTCTCGAGGGATGGGGACAGGGATGTTGGAGGCTGCAAGCAGAAGTGAAGATGGTGATTTGCTCCTGGGGAAGGGGGTGGAAAACCACAGCTTCTATTTGGAGTGCCTGGAGAGGTGTCACTTCTGCTTCGTCCCTCTGTTTCTGTCTGGCACCTGGCTTTAGGGTCCAGACCCTGGAGTTCAAATCCGCATGACCGCCCGGGCCTCAGCTGCCCCATTCGCACTGTGAGAGGGTAGACAAGATGTCCCAAGGTCTTTTCTGCACTATCAGATCCTCAGTTTTCTCACCTGAAACATTTCAAATGGTTTCATTCGATAACTTTCTTTCAAACCTTTTCCCTCATCTCCTCTCTGAGGTTCTGAGAGGGTAGGTGAATTGCCCAAGGTAATGCAGCCAAATAAATAACGTAGTCAAATAAATAAGAACCCAGTGTACTCCATGGCTCCAAAGTCTCTATTCTCTTTTAAAATAAATGCATATGTTAATAAATAGTGTCAAGACAAATGGGTGACCACCAGAAAAAAAATTCAACCCTTATCTCACAGCGTCCCCCAGGATCAATGCAAACTGGATTGGAGATTCCAACATAAAAAATGAAACCTGAAAAGTACTGGAAGAAACTTAGGAGGATTCCTGCATAATGTTGGAGCGGGGAAGGCCTTTCTAGCTATGACTCAGAATCCAGAAGCCAAAAGAGAAAAATCCTGGTGATTTTTATTACATAAAAATTATATATACTTCCACATGGCCAAAAGACCATCTGTAATGTCAAAAGGCAAATGACAAACTAGGAAAAATATTTGCAACTCAAATAACAGACGAAAAGCTAATTTTCTTATTAGGTAGAGTGTTTCTGGGAGTTGATAGTGGAAAGTCTAACCCAGTAAAAAAACGGGGGGCAGATGACGAACTTGAACATGTGGGAAATGATGCAAACGCAGCTGCACTGTTTATAAGAGCAGAAGATTGGAACCAACACAAAGGACTCTGGACAGAGGACTGGTTAGATGAATTATGGTTTATCCCTCCGACATTAGACTATGCAGCTGTTAAAAACAGTGGAAGCTCTAGGTACTGTTATGGAAAGCTCTCTAGGATGTATTTTCAAGGGAAGAAAGCAAAGTGCAGAGCAGCATGTGGAATATGCTGCTTTAAAAAAATAATAAAATGGGGGAAATCGTACTTGCTTATATCCATATTGAAGAAATTCAGGAAGATCCATAACACGCTAATAGTAGTGGTTACCTGGGGGTGACTGACTGGGGACCCAGTGGTTGGGTGACACAGGAGGCACAAATACTTAGCGTTTTATATCTTTTTATTTTTATTTATTGTTTATATTTGAAAGATATAAATCTCAAAACTATCTGAAGAGTAAATAAAAATTGAGATGTGTATAACGTATGTGGTATCACTGGAAAGTACAGACCAGCAAAACAGACGGGCCCATAGTCTCACTCCCAGAAGTGACCACTGCTTATGCCTCGATGTGTATATCTGAGATTTTGCATATATAAGAATGTGATTTTTCAAATAAGCATTGGATTACATTGTTCTGCAACATGCTTTTTGTTTTTCGAAGCAATATGTCATTATTATTTTTTCCATAATGATAAATAGTCATTTGGAGCATAAAAAAAATCCTAAGCATTAAAAATTTTGTTTTTCTGTTGTGAAAGTAATTCATGTTTGTTGTAGAAAACTCAAACAATACAGAAAACATAAAATGAAAGTTAAAAAAAAAAAACCTCTTCCCCTCAAAACATTAATATTTTGGTGACTAGATATCCTCATTGGCTTAAACATGCATATAAACATAATTAATTTTTAATAGTGAAATGGCTACTTACTGTATTGTAACTTTTAATTTGGAAAAAAATGATAAATTCGCAGGAGGTTGCAAAAAAAGCAGTAGTATAGAAAGGTTTTATATATGCTTTACCCAATTTTCTCCAGTGTTAATATCTTGCGTACCACAATATCAAAACCAGACTATTGACTTTGGTGCAATATACAAACTTTGGTCAGATTTCATCAGTTTTGTACAAACTCATGTGTGTGTGTATGTGTTTGTGTGTGCGTGTGTGTAGTAGTAGTAGTTCTGTGAAATTTTATAGCGTGTAATTCTTGTAACCAAAACCACGATCAAGATACAGAATCGTTTCATCACAGCCCGGTTTCCTCGTGCTGCGTCTTTGCACACACACACCCTTCCTTCCTAACCCTCGGCGACTACTAACCTGTTCTCCCTCTCTATAATTTTGTTATTTCAAGAATGTTATTTAAATTGAATCAAACAGTATGCAAATTCTGAGATTGGCTTTTTTTTGGAGGGGGGAGGGGGCGTCAGCATAATTCCCTGGAGACCTATCCAAGTTGTGTGTATCAAGTTTTTAAAAATTGCTGACTTGTATTTCATGGTGTGGATGTACCCTGGTTTGTTTAGCCATTCACCCACTGAATGGACATTGAGATCATTTCCGGTTTCGGGCTATTGTGAACAAAGCTTCCACTAGGCAGGTGTTTGTGTAAACGTGAGTTTTTATTTCTTTGGGATGAATGCCCAAAAGTGTGATGGCTGGGTCATATGTAGGTGCATGTTTAGTTTTATAAGAAGCTGCCAAACTGTTTTCCAAAACGGCGTTGAACTGTAATTTATTTAATTATTCCTCTATTGATAGACATTTACATAGTTTTTAATTTTTCTTTATGATTGACAATGGTATTACAAATATCTTTCTATGTATGTATATTCCTGGCTTGCCTTATTATTTCCATAGGATAAATTCATAAAAATAGGTTTCCTGAGTATGAGGATATTTAAAATGAAAAGTTTGTACGTATTGCCACCCAATTCCGTTGGAAAGATTAGACACTTTATGTACTCACAGGGAGTGTAGTGTGCCTGTCTTTCAGTGGGTGCTGTCATATTTCAGATCTTTGCAAACCCAGTGGTAAAAAAATTCAATCCATGCTCTTAATTAATTCTCTCTGCTGCCACCATCATAAGTATACAGCCATGTATACATGTGTATCACAATCAAGATATAGAATGTTTCTATCATCTAGAAAAGTTGCCTTGTGCCCTTTTGTAGTCAATAGCTTCTCCCCAGTAGCTTTCTCCCCTGGCAGAAATCTGTTTTCTAGCATTATGGTTGACTTTTCTGAAGGATCATAGAAGTGAAAATATATGGTTCTTTGTGTCTGGGTTCTTTCACTTAGCATAATGATTTTGAGGTTCATTCATGTGTTGCCTATATCAGAGGCTCATTCTTTTTTTATTACTGAATCGTATTCCACTGAATGGATATATCAAGGTTTGCCTTTTACCATCTGATGGATATGTGTATTGTTTCCAAGTTTTGGCTATTATGAATAAAGCTACTATGAGCATTTGCACGTAGGTTTTTGTGTGGATGGATGTTTTCATTTTTCTTCAGAAAATATGTAGAAGTGGAATTGCTGGTTGTATGGTTAGTGTATCTTGAACTTTATAAGAAACTGCCAAACTGTTTTCAAAGTGGCTGTCCCATTTTGCGTTGCCTCCAGCAACGGATGAGAGTTCCAGCTATTCTATATCCTTCGTAACACTTGGTATTATCAGTCATTTTAATTTTAGCCATTCTAGAAGGTGTCTACTGATATCTCATCGTGGTTTTTATTTGCATTTCTTTAATGACT